CTTATAGATCTAAAATCTTATTTTTATTATTTATAGAGTTTACTACAGTCTTGTACGCTTGCCCAGAAGTGCAAAAGGCCCTGATAGAGCCACTGCAGTTCTCCCATATGACACACAGCTCTGTAATGTAAATGTGTGTTTTTATTGAACCAGAACACAATGACTGAAAAAGTGTCATTGCAACAATCAGTCACACATTTTCACCTTTAAATGCCTCCGTAGAAATTACTTTATTAATTTACATTAATTACTGTAAATGTGTGTCATTGGCGCTCTTATCGGAGAGCGTGCGAATTGCGTTGCCAATCTGGGACAATTCTCGCAGAAAGCTGCAGTGTAAACAGCTCTCCGTTTCTTCCCACAGTCCTACGGGAAATGTGAGGCCTCAATATACATAAACAAAGTTCGCCGGATCGTCGATCTGCGCTCCTACAACTGCACTCTCCGGCCAGGTGCGTCTTACCTCATTCTCTGCAGGCGTACCCCTGGGTCAGAACCGTCGGGTTGTTAAGGTTTCCCAGCCGGGCGTAGATTGCTGTCATAATTCTATCTTGCCATCTTGATTTTCAGTGTCCGCCTCCAGGGTAGTCAGCGTTTGTCCCGACTGCGCAACATTAGTGCGGCTCGACACTCCTGCTGTGTTACTGGCTGTAGAGAATTCCCTGGCAAAGTACAACAACGGCAGCGGACAAACAAAGTACTTCGCCCTCCGCAACGTCACAAGAGCGCGCTCGACGGTGAGCTGCATTCTCCCAGCCTCGATGAGACTGGAGATCTTGGTCTTGTCTCTGCGTGATTGTAATGAAAGGTCCTGTATTGTTGTCACGTGTTCTGTGAGTGCATCAGACAAAACAGGGGGCAGACATTTCCACAGCTCAACACTTAACTCGTGAGACTGGCCCCCTTCAATTAAAAGGTTATTAAAGGCTCTGTATTTAAACGCATTGTGAAAGTTTAAGGGGTTATTTTTTGCAGTGGTTCCAGGGGTTCCACTACAGTGTGGAGTACATCATCCAGGAGACAGAGTGCACCAAGGACACCGCTGACGTAGATCTTTCCAAATGCAAACTGATGGACTGTGAGTTTGCTGTAAGTAACAACCAAGGCTCCTTGAGTCCAGCTCTCGCTGTAGATCAAAATCCGTTAATTGTCATTAATAATACAAATACTCAGAATCCCCCCATCAGAGTTTCAGGGCAGAGCTTCCATGGTTTGTCGAGAAATGTGGGACAAACTTCCATCTCGTCCCTGGCTCGAATAATTCCCTGATCTTAATCCTCAGCAAAACCACCAGAACAGTTGGGACAGTTCTGGATGTTTATGTATATGTCCCACATGTCTCAACAAACCATGGAAACTTCCCTGAAATTGGTGGAGCAGTGGCTCTGGGGCTCAGGATCTGTGCCTGTAAATGGAAGGTTGCTGGTTCCATTGGGCCCCTGAGCAAGGCCCTCAACCCCAACTGCTCCAGGGGCGCCGTACAATGGCTGACCCTGCGCTCTGACCCCCAGCTTCTCTCCCTGTCTGTGTGTCTCATGGAGAGCAGGCTGGGGTCTGCGAAAAGATGAATTCCTAATGCAAGAAATTGTATAGGGCCAATAAAGCAACATTATCATTATTATTATTCATGGAAATTAATCAGTGCTTTGTGTTTAATCCACTGGATTTTGTTAATGAAACAAAGTCCTATCAGCTGTGTGAGAAAGAGTGAAAATGTTTTTCTTTCAAAAATACAGCACACGGGTTTTTGCAAGGGGAGCTACTACGAACCCTCTCCCCAACTGCTCACCGGTGACGATCACATCACTGCCACCTGTGAAATCTTTGAACCAGAGGTAAGAAACTCTCACACTCGCTATCTCAAGAAGAAACCGTGAAACAGACATACAGCACTGAGAAAAGCGCACGACATCAAGCGGTTTTTAGAACCACTATATCTGGCTTGTAGAATTTGCTGATTACTTCTAATTAGAATTAGTGAAACATTTCTAGGTTATACTGCTTTTACAGAAACTGTTAAAAGAAAACAAAACCTTTCACAAAAACATTACATGTTAATGTAAAAGGAGAGGCACCACCTCCTAGTGACTAGAACGGCCGCTTCACAGCTTTGGGGTCCTGGGATTGATTTCAGACTATGACACCTTCTCTGTGGAGTCTGCATGTTCTTCCCAGTTCCATTTCCCAGTTCCACTGTGTCCTCCTACCCTGGACTGTCCCTGCGTGTGTCCCATATAGGGTGGGGTTCCCACCCTGTGCCCTGTGCTTCTAGGAAGGGCTCTGGTTTAAACTGATTCTAAACAGGATTAAGCATCTTTCTAGTAATGGATGAGTGAAGTTAAAAGAAATATATAATCTTGTCCTTTTCAGCACATGATCAAAAATGTTTATTTTTTTAACTCAAGATTGTTTGCGAAGCCCTAATAATTTTCTCAATCTAATTATCTAATTATGAAGGAATTGACAAATTCCAGCATGTGCATTTCTTCAGAATATACAGTGAAACACAAACAACAGGGAAACCTTTAAATATGAGGAGGCACTACTGTACCCTGAGGGTTGTGGGGTCTGGAACAAGCTGCCCAGCCATGCTGTTGAAGCCAAATCCCATGCTTTTTTTCGAGAAATGGCTGCATAAGATTCTTTAATCAATTATCCATGAACCACATGGACTAGGCGGACCCATCAGCCTCCTCTTGTTTGTAACATTTTCTCAAGGTCATATCCAACTGGGCACACAGGGAGAACTGTTGGTGCAAAGGGGGTTTCAGACACCAAAAACTCACAGTTAGCTTGAAGGCCCGTGCGCATGGCAGATTTGAATCGGTAATGAAAAACACTCACACCATCGCTTAATGACTGGTTTGATTGTCCACTAATGTGTGTGCGTGTGTTTGTTGCGTGTGCGTGTGTGTTTCTTGTGTGTGCATGTGCATTGCGTGTGGGTTGGGCGTCTGCGTGTGTGTTGCTTGTGTGTGCTTGTGCATTGCGTGTGCGTTGCTTGTGTGTGCACGTGCGTTGGGCGTCCGTGTGTGTGTTGCTTGTGTTGTGCACGTGCGCATGTGCTTTGCATGTATGCGCGTGTGTGTTGCGTGTGCGTTGCTCAGGCCTCGCGGAAGGAGGAGCAGCGGCACAAGGAAGCAGCGCCGCAGGGACACGGGGTGCACGGCCACGCCCCCGGGGAGGAGCACGAGAGCCACGAGCAGCACCTGCACGAGCACCAGCACCTGCACGCCCACGAGCACCACCATCACAACGCCAGCGACACGGGCACCCAGCCGCACCCGGGGCCGCTGGGCACCGTGCAGGAGCTGCCCCCGGACGAGAGCCAGCCCAGAGACTTCCACCTGCCCGCGGACCACCACACCGCCGCCAACCAGTGTCCGGGAAAAAAGAAGCACGTGTTTGTGTGAAACGTCCCTGCACGGCGACGTTTCTGGGCGAGCATGAAGTGACTTTGCCCCTATTGAGGTGCACAAGATTGTGTCAGAAATCAGGCGCAAGGTAGTACGAAACTACGCGAGGAAATCATTTTAATAGCGCAAAACTATTTCCAGTATTATCTCCCAAGGGATCGAGTGAAAGGGTAGACCTGAAAGACCAATGTACTTCTTTGAAAAGCTGCTACCTTGTTTTTTAAACAATGTGATTAATTTCCTTGTTTTGAAACAGATGAGAAACCTCTGAACAGACTGGTCTCCATCTGGCTCTCCAGACCTTGGTTTAATAAAGCATTTCGCACTGGTATCCGAGTCAAGAGTAGTGAATGGCACGCTAGCACGGCATGTTCTGACATTTTCTTTAATAACAACAATAATAACATAAAATTAATAGAGTGTGCAGCCCCACCTGGACGATGTGCCAGGCTGCTCCCCACACACCAGCTCTCAGTGGGGAGGAGAGCAGAGTGATGGAGCCAGTTCAGAGAGGAGGAATATTATGACAATGACTACAGGCCGGTAGCACTGACATCTGTTGTGATTAAATGCTTTGAGAGGATTATGGTATCCATGCTGTGCTCAGAAGTGAACACTGTACTGGATCCATATCAGTTTGCATATAAACACCGGTGGGGCACCGATGATGCAATCAACAGCATTATGCATCTGGTTCTTAAACACCTAGAGGACCCCAATGCCTACGCTCGGATGCTGTTTGTGGACTTAATACGCTGAAGTCCCATCTATTGAAAAGGAAGTTGAAGTAAATCTTATAAAGTTATGGTCCGTTAACCATAACTTTATAAGATGATACCATTCATTTGTAACAAATCGTACACAGTATGTCAGGGTCAACAAAACTCTTTCTGAGTCACGATCTATTGGCACAGGTGCCCCTCAGGGATGTGTGAGCTCTCCAGTTCTGTTCACACTTTATACAAGCGATTGTACAAGCAGTAGTCAAAGCAACTTCAAACTTCAAATTCTCATATGATACAGCTTTTCTTGGCTTAATGCATAGAAGTAGCAGCTCAACTATAGATGTCAGAAATCCAAAGGCTTGTGCAATGGTGTGACAACAATAGCCTAATTCTGAATGTTAACAAAAACAACAAAAGAAACAGTTTTTGATCCCAGAGCAGTTGGTGATCACTTACATGTAGTAATCCAGAATGAATTTATCACTCAGGTTGATCCATATAAGTACTTAGGTGTACACATAGACAGTAACCTGTGATGGACTTCTCATGTCGAGAGTGTTTGCTCCAAAGCTCAGCAGCGCTTATATTTCTTGCGAAGACTAAGAGTGTTCGGGGTTCGACAGGAAGTAATGCTACTCTTTTACCGCGCTGTAATCAAGACCATTATCAGATATCAGTTCCACCAGAAAGGCTTGATTTCGTACATGATTTGTGACATGATTTGTGATTTGTGACAGAGAAGTGATTCAAATAATTACTGATAAAAAAAGAGACCCAAACTTTTCCTCGACCATTTACATGGTGCTGGTTCGTCACGCTCCCTTCCACGAAATGACCAGACGTGAAGACTGTCAGACGAGAACAAGTTCAGCTCTCAACACCCCTTCTCACTCGGGAACACGTGAACGCTGCGGTAGGGGGGCGGGTTTATCCAATAGATAGCCAATAGGGGAGCACGTTATTTCACGACGAGGGCGTGCCTTTCAACTGACAGCCCCACACACCAATGAAAAGTGCAGACAAAGTCGCAGCCGAATTCCTGTCTTGTATGAGCCAATGAGAGGGAGGTCGGGCGGGGCTTCCTCTCATTTTTGACATCTTGGTAAACAGGGGTCCGCTTTTGCGGGTTGGTCGTCACGAGTTATTAATTTTCTGTGTTCCTGCCGGCCTATTACACGCGCACTCACCGAGTGTTTTGGGAAAAGGGCTTTTTGGGGAGCGGGGGGCAGCGGGACTCAGCGGCAGGCTCCGGCAGACGCATCGGCGCCGCTGTCCGTCCTGGGGCGGCCCAGCATGTGACGGGGATCATCCAGCTGGCCCCAGGCGGGTGTCACCCCCAGCTCCTGCGACCTCGCCCGCCTCCCCAGCAAAAGAAGAAAAAAGAAAAGTAGGGAAAGGCTGTTGCAGAGAAAATGGTGCACGTCTACAACTGCCACCCGTTCGCGTCCCAGCAAATCGTCCCCACGGAGCAGGAACCGGGGCTGGTTTGCTGCGGCGGGGACGCGCTGTTCGTGGTGTCCGGCGGCGGGTGCAAGATCGAGGCGTTTCAGGTGCGGGAGGAGGGCTGCACGCTGATCTGCAGGTTCTCCGCCATGGGGAAGGTGCAGACCATCGCCTACTGCGAGACAGGTACGGGCGGGGTCACTGGTCAGTTTGTGCGCTTTCTGGAGTCAGCTGAGGCAAGTTTAATGATGTTTTATCGGGGGGAGGCAGGACGCTTACTGACTGAAAACGGCTTACAGATCGTCCGCATCAATACGTTGACAGCGAAGTTACTGATGCGTCGCTGTTAGTTTTGCGCTTGTTCTGTTAACACGGGCGATACATTTCCTCGTGTCGGTCAGAGTGTCTGAGATGGTGTGTCGTGTGCATCATCCAGGTGGGGACGACACTGGTGAGCGCGGAGGGGAGTCCCCGTTACCTGTAAAGTGGAGAGTCCAGAAAACCACTATATAAGTGTATTATTATTAGGAACAAGTAATAGGTTTACTCCCTGCTGAAAAGAGAAGACAGAAAACACAACGTTTCGGCCGTGGGGCCTTCTTCAGGTGTGAGCCTTCTTCAGCCTTCTTCACACACCTGAAGAAGGCTCCACGGCCCGAAACGTTGTGTTTTCTGTCTTCTCCTTCCAGCAGGGAGTAAACCTTCCACTTGTTCCTTTGCAGCCCGTGCATGCTGACGCAGCTGCCCACCAGTATTGTTGTTGGTCTTTGTGATGCGTTTTCGAGAGCTCAGCAGCCTGCCCTGTCTGCTCGCTCCCCCAGGGGACTACCTCGTCACCATCGAGGAGAAGAACCAGGCCACCTACCTGCGGGCGTACACCAACTGGCGCCACCAGGCGGCCGAGAGGACGCGGGTCGGGGTGCGGCTCCTGGGCCACTTCCTGCGGGGCCCCTCCGTCCGGGCGGCCCCCCGGGAGCAGATGGAGATCATCGAGATCCCGCTGCGGGAGCCCCCGGCCTGCGTGGCGTGCTGCGGGGCCACGGGCGGCCTGCTGGTGGGCTGCGCCGACAGCGCGGTGGTCTTCGGCCTGCGCGGGCAGGCGCTGGGCGAGCAGCGCGCCGTGCTGGACTTCGAGCGCGTCCTGGTCCTGCACACGCCGGGCTGGACCGCCTCCCGGGCCGCGCTCTGCGGGGACCACGTGGCCCTGCAGCGGGACCTGGACGTGCTGGTGGTCAGGCTGCGGCGGCTCCGGCCCCGCCCGGACCGCGCCCTGGTGCCCGCGGATACCGCCGCGGGAGGCGGGGCAGGTGGGCTGGCACCTCTTTTAAATTGCACCTTTCATGTGCTGCTGCTCCCAGAATGCCACCCATGGCTTGTCCGTTCTCTGAAGCTTCCGGATTCCCAGAATCCTCCCTGTCTTAGGTTTGGCCGCTGTCTTGACATTTCCCCTGTGCCGCTCGGCGATGTTATTGTGAGTTACTGTTGTGCACCTGACCCCACAGCGGCAATCAGCTTCAGCCCTGTTAGCCAGTGGGAAGTGTGGCACTGTGAGTGCTGCTCGCAGTGAACTTGAACTTGAACTTGAACTTTATTGCCATATGTAACCGGTACTGGTACAATGGAATTCTTACTTACAGAAAGTCTCTCGATTGCAAAACAACTGTAAAAAACAAAACAAAGTGCAAACAGTGCATCAAGACAATGTACAAACAAACAACAGACAATGTGCAAGTAAACATGCAGACAGTTTGAATGTAAACAATACAGACGTGTAAACAATGACTGGAGACGTACAATAAATAAATTACTATGAGGTAGATGGTGATGGTGTGGGTGTGGTCCGAGGGGGATGGCTAAATGTGTTCGCCAGTCTCACTGCTTGAGACTGGCTTTGCACCTGCTCTGTAACCCGAAATATTGAGGAGGCCCCGTGTTGTCGCCTAGATTTGGGGGCAGAAGGCGGTCCCACGGGGGGATCCCTCCCGGATCCGGAGGACTTCTACTTGTGTCCGAGAAACCAGGAGCTGCTGGGGGAGGAGGCCCGCGAGTGCGGGGTCTCGGTCACCCTGGAGAGCACCAGCCTGGAGCAGGAGTCCCGGGCCGAGCTGGGGGTGACCTACGTGCTCTACAGGTGCGTCCCCACCGCCCGCCCCGTCTGCGGAAGCAGCCCGAGACACGAGCCAGTGTACGGTTTCAGTTGCGCCGTGCAAGAAATACAAACTCCTTCCGTTAGAAGGTGTGTCCCCGCGGCTGTCGTCTGTCGGGCTTTGGTCTGGCCTCAGCCGTTCAGAGTGCAAGTTTGGGAACCTGAGCAGAGCTGTGTTGGGCAGAAGATTTGCGATATCTGTGCTAGAGGAAACCTGCTGTTCCTTTCCCGTACAAGGGTCATGCGCTGAGCTGACAGGGTAAGAGCTGGCCCAGCGTGTCTTACACAGTGCCAACGCAGTGCGTCAGTGAGGAGGTAAGATAAGATCACTTAATTGGCCATCTACAATTTCTTGCATTAGGAATTTGTCTTTTTGCAGACCCCAGCTTGCTCTCCATGAGATGCACAGACAGGGAGAGAGAAGCTTGGGGTCAGAGTGCAGATCCTTAGCCACAGTGCCACTGCTCTGCCAGAGAGAGTGCTCTCCACCATTCTCACTGCCAGAGAGAGTGCTCTCCACCATTCTCACTGCCAGAGAGAGAGCTAGTAGTTAACGCAAGGCGTGTTGAAAGCAGGAACTGGCACAAATGCTGCACTGAGGTGCCTCCTGACTGTGACCTAGAGAGGTCATGTAATGTCGCAGTGGTTCAGCTGTGTTGATGGAAGTAAACCCGGAAGACGGTGTTTGAAGCTCGGAATGCAACGTTGTGTTCAAGCAAAGTCAGGTTTTTATGTTCTGAGAGATGTCAGGGTAGCGACTTCACCTTCTGTTGTTGCTTTTTTCTTGGAACAGGCGCTTTGCTCCTGATTTCAGTGAAGGCTGCAGCGTCGAGGACACCCGTCTGCACTCCCTGCAGCTGCTCCCCATCTTCGCTGGGCCCAGTGAGTATGGATGGGCTGACTGGGACAGGGGGAACAGGGGAGACAGCAGAGATATAGGGGACAGGGGAGACAGTGGGGACGGGGTAGAATGTGGGACAGGGGGGACAGGGGAGACAGCGGGGACAGGGGAGACAGGGGAGATAGTGGGGACAGTAGAGAAAGGGGGACGCAGGGACAGGGGAGACAGACTGAGGGACACTTTGTCTTTGTCGCCCAGTTCCGGCCCAGCTGGCCTTGGGTTTGACTGTGTCCAGATGGGAAATGTGGACAGCATGGATGCTCACAGGCCAGCGTGCTCGCTCTAGTGCAGGTGGTTGTTTGGGGTCGTCAGTCAGCGCTCCTGCCTTGTGTCTCTGTCCACAGGCGATCAGGACGTAGCTGATGAGGTGAAGCACAGAGAGCCCACCTCGGTGTTCTGTTTCTTCTCCCTGCCCAACACCGGCTACCTGTACAGCATTGAGAGCAGCGTGGAGCTGGTCTCCACCTACCTGTACCCTGAGAAGGCCCAGCAGGCGGCCCTGACTGGCCTCTTCCTGCACGTCATCACCAGGTGAGGCCCCAGTACTTCAGTGTCAGGCCCTGCCGGAGACCTGTGACCAACACTGCTGCCCGTCTGATCTGCTCTTTGGGCATCTGGCTGTCTCTACAGCAGGGGTGCTCGTTTCCAGAAGGCTCTTTCTAAAGGGTAGGACACTAGGAGGGCAGGAGAAACTCCAGGGCTGTGGTAGTTTTTTAAGAATGTGCTGCCGCTGTGCATCGTGGGTATGAACGTTGGCGCTAGAGCCCGGGCTGTTTCGTATTTATCGGCGTGCAGAAGGAGACAGAACGGCCTCTCTTGTCTCCCCGCAGGAATGCGCTGATGTGCTTCAGCGTGCGCTGTGGCGCGGTGGCGGCGCGCTGCCTGGACCCCTACATTGACACGATGCTGAAGGTGCGAACCCTGCGCCCCATCTCCTGAGCCGCCGACGCGGAGCCGGGGGTTTGCAAGACCGCGAGATCGCTCCGCTCTCGTGGCAACGTGCCTGCTGTCGCTTCCAACTAGTCCGTTAGGTTGTCTCCCTCCAGCTCGTGTGTTTTTTTTAAATGGCCATTTTCTTACTCCTGTCCATAAAGCAGGCGTTCCCAGTGCTGGTCCTGGCGAGCCCCACACCTGCTGGGTTTCAGTCCCTCCCACCTCCAGCAGATAACTGAGGCCTTACTGGATCAACAAGGAGCTGCTCCAGTTCAACATTTGCATTTTGTTTCTAGTTTGGGATTTTAGTTCACTGACAAAATATAACCCTATATTTTAAAACTCCAGCATGTGTAAGAGCTGACAGCAAATAGTTCACGTTCTTCTTCTTACTATTATAATAGGTGAATGAAGGGTTTGATTGTGGAACTGAGAGAACACCAGCAGGACCAGGACTGAGCACCGCCCAGGTTGTGAAATCAGCACACATAGGAAATTGAAATGCGCACAAAAAATGAAATGAAAAAAGCTATAATAAAACAAACACGGTCGTCAACTGAAAAATGCTAGATTGACCACAGGAGACTGTCTGCGAGAGGCCCAGCCTGGCTGTGTGCATTATCACTGCTGCTCGATCATCGATATCTCTGCTCTCGTGGTCTCGAACCTCCCTGCTCCTGCTCGCTCCACACTCAGTCTCCAGGACTGGGCTCGCTGAGGCGCTGTCCCGGTCTTTCGGATCTCTATGCTTCTATGAGGATGACTATATTAACAAAATATAATTTCAGGTTTACAATTTTGCACACACTCACTTTAGTGCGCACCAGTTTTTGTCACTGGGGGGAAAAATTCACAGGGCTTGAAATGTTTGCGCACACAGGCCATTAAAAATGAGAGGGAACGTGGGGCCCCGGTGCTGTGGGCTCAAGCCCCTGTGCTCGTTCCCACTCCTTCATCAGCGGCTTGCGCTGGTTTCCAGAAAACAGTCGGCGATTCTTGACGCGGAAAAAAAACGTATTGAAAAAGGCCTGCGATTGAGTGGATGCATCCCGAGTGGTGGAAGAGAGGAGATCCCCCATTTTCTGTTGTGGGAATAGGTTCCACCACTAGGTTGCCCGATGCGATTGAGCGGTCCGACACGGGCTCATCCGCCAGGGCGGTTGTGACGGGCGGCTTCAATCGCGGCT